ACCCGAAGGAGTCTGTGACCCTGTGGGAAGCCCACGCTGGAGCAGGCTCGTGGCAGCACCTGTGGCCCTGTGGAGAGAGGAGCCCACACCAGAGCAGGTTTGCTGTCAGGACTTGTGACCCCATGGGGGACCCACGCTGGAGCAGTCTGTTCCTGAAGGTCTGCACCCCATGGAAGGGACCCACACTGGAGCAGTTTGTGAAGAACTGCAGCCCGTTGGATGGGCTCAAGTTGGAGAAGTTCATGGAGGACTGTCTCCCATGGGAGGGACCCCACACTGGAGCAGGGGAAGAGTGTGAGGAGTCCTACCCCTGAGAAGGAAGGAGTGGCAGAGACAATGTGTGATGCACTGACCACACAAGATTTGGGTTTGTTTCTTGTTATCGTACTCTGATTTGACTGGTAATAAATTAAACTAATTTCCCTGAGTTGTGTCTGGTTTGCCTGAGGTGGTAATTGGCAGGTGATCTCTCCCTGTCCTGATCTCAACTCACGAGCCTTTCGTTATATTTTCTCTCCCCTGTGCATCTGAGGAGGGGAGTGACAGAGCAGCTTTGGGGGGCACCTGGCCTCCAGCCTGGGTCAACCCATCACATTTATTAACTCTTCTGGCCTCCTCCCTTCTTTCTGTCTCCAGGTCATACTCATCTTGCCTTACACTTACACCTGTCCTAACATCTACTTCTCCATCTTTGCCGTCTGCTTTCTCTGATCCCTCCATTCAAGCCTCTTAGATGCCTCCCCACCCCCACCATCTCCTCACATTGTGCATGTGCATTAATGAGAGAGAAAGCAAAAATAAGAGCCCACCCATTACAGTTCTTTCCACAATGCCCAGAAGGATCTGTGTTTGAGGCATGTTTTAAAGATCATTGTAAATCAGGAAACAGCAAGGTGGAGTGAAGGGAAATTGGAAAGAGCTCTCAGCTTACAAATGTATAATGCAAGAACATGGGCCCTCGCTCCAGTTTAATCTTGCCAACAGTTACTAGACCAAGTTCCTTGAACAAAAAGTCATTATTATGACTAACCATTCCGTATTTATAGAGAAGTAACGTTAGAAGACAAACAGTTCAAGCAGCAGTCTTGCATTAGATGTTCTTTGCTTTTTCCTGTATGTGGTGTTTTATTCCAGTGTTAATTGTGGCTATAAATCATTCCTAACCTGCTTTGGAATGAGTTTACACAGTCTTCGTGCTGTTGAAAACACATTACATTTATACATACAAGATATAAAGCATTCAGCAACTCCAAAGTTAAAATACCATATATCAGGAATGAAACCCACAGAAGATATATTTCTCTGCCTGTTGCCTCAAATGGCTACAGCTACTTCTGCACCATGCAGAGGACACTGGAGTGGGAAAAGTGGTCACCAATGGGTGTCTTTGGGAGGCACTTGTGCCCGGAAGGGTTTTGTTTTCGCAAAGGACGAGATCTGGAGATAAAAGAGTCTTGTTAAGATTGAGTGGTGAACAGGATGAGGAAGGAGCATGGACACCTAACCCCTGTCTATGACCATCTAGGTCAGAAAGGATGGGGCCAAAAAAACTCGAAAGGGAGAAGAATGGCTTACATTTCTTTTTTTTTGCTGTGTTGGAATACATCAGCCCCCATGAGGGGGAATGTTATTTGAACCACCCGGGGTGCACATTCCTCTGAGAGCCAGGGAAAGTGGAGCCTTGGCAGGCACACCAGATGCTGAGCTGGGACAGAGCGACCCTCTTACAGCCTTCCTACGTTTCTGTCAGCTCTAGCAAAGGGGGGGGGGGGGGGGCAAAAAAAAAAAAAAAAGAGCTTGTTAAGTCTCATACAGCTTTCAGATCAAATTTTTATTCTATTTCACTTTTGAAGTCTCTTGAACAAGCTCAGTGCTTCAAAGCTGAGGCTGCAAATCTCCCAGGGAAGGTTCCTGTGTTTAATAAGCTGTTTTGACTGGAATTCAAAGAGAAAGTAAAGATTTCTGTTGGACTAGCTATAGAAAATGTGGCCCAGACCTGTAACCCCATATGTGACCAGACAAAAATGTGTACTCTGTTAAAAACTGGAGATTTCTCAGAAACATTGGCGTTAGAATAGCTCTGGTTCCCCTGAAGTCAATAGCAAAAAGTCTCGTCATCTCTAATGGAAATACCTGTGACTAATTTTATTTGGAAAGAAGGTGCTAGAAGGCAGTGCCAGAACACCAACGTAACAAACCTGTAAGCTATATAGTGGCTCAGCTACTGGGCAAAATAGCTTCTAGTTTACTCTTTTCACCCATTCCACCACAAAATTAACCCCTGAAGGGCTTTGTATCCTAAGAGCATGCTGAATGCTGACAAGCAGGGAAGCACAGAGCAACTGAAATACTATTAACATGATGCAATGCTTATGATCAACTTATTATAAGACAGAGCCATGACTTATGTGATTCAGACTTTCTTGAATGACCTAAGTGAAATCTTGGTGATTTCTGAGGACCCTGTCAAGGTTCTCTGGCACCTCATCTCCAAGGCCTTCAAGCACGAGTCTGCACATCACCCCTGTTAACTGTACCAGAAGTCCTGGAAACAGGGGATCAGTCCTTCCTACCACCACTGCAGTGAGACATGTATTCATACCACTTCCCTTGGTGCTCACACTTTCCATCCTAGGGCACACAGATACAAAAATAAATACTGCATCAAGACAGTGAATGTCTCCAGAGGATTTCACTAAATGAAAAATGAAATCTAACCCCAGCAGAGACCCCTTTGGTCTGACAGGTCTTGTTTTCTTTAAGTTTTGTTTTTCTTCCTCTAACACAAATATGATCCATCATCTGCCCAAATTCAAACCTGATGTAGACTTTCAAAAACTGCTTCCAGCTAACTGTGGTACTCAAATGGCAGTCGGTCCTTTCCCATCTATTCTTGTTAATGTTTCTGTTCACCAAATTTTCCCTCACAATTAAATTCCCATATTTGAAAGTTAAAGTGACAGAAGTGAACAGTCCTGACTGAAGAAAGCATCAGTCCTCAAAGCTCTGCCAGCGTGAATAAGAACATATATGCCCTTTGCAGGCTGGAAGGCCCACTGTAAAAGTTTCCAAAATCCACCTGTTTTGATTAGTATGGTCTGCATGAAGCAGGCTAGAGAGACTAAAATATAGGGCTTTCATTTCCCTTTTGATTTCAGCACTTCTTTTCCACTAACTGCCCCATTTCCTGATTCATCTACATCAAAGTTAGCAAAATGAAAACACTCCTGGAAGCCTACAAATCAGTAGATAAAATAACTGAGGCTGATCAATTTGCTAAGATCAGAAGGACTAATTGCAATTTTCAAAGAACTGGGTGGTATACATGCTTATTTTTACAGCAAACTCATCAGTTATCCCAGGATTTCAAAACTCCTCACTGAAAAACCCAGGTTTTCTAGTTTTCCAGTAGGTGTTACTATGAGCGCTGGTTAGAAAATACGTTTTTCCCACCTTGGAACATAATGATGGTAATGATTCAAATACAGAAAAATGTGCCCCAAAGTAGCCGAATTTAAATCTAAACTCTCACAGCTCCCATGAAGCATCACGGTCTCCTCATTAGGGAAGCAAACAAAGTACATCATCTGAAACCAAGTCCTGCCAGAAATTTCAGACAATAGGGCAGAATCAGCCCAAAAGACAAGTCAGTTTTAGCTCTTGTATTGTTCTGCAGCAGCATTCAAAAAAGAAATGTTCTGAGTTAAATGCAGTTCCTTAGTCTACAGACATGAAAAATTCTCTATTGAAAGCTCATATCTTCTGTAGTTTGGGCTTTTTTTCTTGTCAAAGACCAGTCCTATTTCAAACAAGATTTTGATAAAAATCTTCAGACTATTAGCTACATGTAATAACTGATAAAACTTCACTTTACCATTAGGACAACTGAGACACAGAAATAAGTATGAGAAGTAGTAGCAGTAGTAGTAATAGATTAACTTTGTGGTAGACCTGTGGGCTACATCTCCAGAATTTATCCAAAGCAGCTGCCAATGATCAGTTTGATCCTGGTCTCTTGATTCCAAGTTTGCCATGAAAATAAATATTTCGGCCAGTGGAATTTACTTCAATGTAGTTCAGAAATTTTCTCTCCATTAATAACATGACATTATCAAAAGCAAGCAAACCAAAGGGGTATAATCTAAATCTCCCTTAAATTTGAGTAACACAGGAGCAGCTTATATCCAAGTTAAACACAGTATAAAATTAAGTAAGTGGAATCAGAATCTATCAAAAGATGCAAAAGTAGAACAACTACCAAAACAAGAAATTTTTCATAGCATTATTTGGTTTTTATATTGGAGATTGGGGAATATCAAGGTGCTAGGGCAATGTCAATGCTCTGCTGGGGCAGCAATTCTTTCCCCGTGTGTTTCTGCAGTGCCTTGAATAAGGGAGTTCCAGTCTCAGCTGAAGTCTATAGTCATTAAAGCAAGGGTAATGCGAACAGTTGTGTACCACCCTCTCGTTAAGCAATGTATGACTCCAAAGGGCTCACAGTTTAAGTGAAGAACACAAAGCATGGAAGGAAACAACTCTTATTTATACCATTTAAAGGAGGAAGATTGAGGTCCAGAAATCTGAACAAGGTCATGTACTGCCAAGAACAGGATCAAGGTTTCCTCAGTCCCCATCTAATACTTCAAATGGAGGGCCATCTATCTTCTCTCTCAAGGACAGAATCATAAGCATAGAAGGCATGCCTTTAATGCCCTGACAAATCCCCTGCCATCAGATGGTCATTTATCTCATAAAAACATTGCTTCTCTCATAAAAGTGGGTTTACTGATTAAATAATAGGAATAAATCATATCTTAGCTTGCACTGAATAATGACCATATGAAATGTAGAGCTCACACCCTTTAAAAAAAGTAGCTGGACTTCAAAAGACTGGGCTTGAGTCATACAGTAACAAGGACAATTGCAGGACAATTTTTTCTCCAATGTCGGACAAAATTTAATATAAATAAAAATGTAGAATAAAGATTTCTACTACTTACCAGCACACTGATTGTTTTCATCCAACTGATAACCAAATCGACAGATCAGAGGTCTTGTAACAGTAGGGTAGTTAGGAACCGGGCCTGGTGCTGGGGGTGGTGGATAAATATTTGAATAAGGATTCAGATATGGTGACCGATACACTGGGTTTGTTCGGGGTACGCATAAATAGCCACCATTCTGGTTGACACACACCATATCTCCTCTGCAGGCCTCAGGAATAGTCCGACATTCATCAATATCTGGAAGGAAATCGCAAACGTTAAATGAGTGATTGCTTCTTAGTGGGACTTACCCAAAAAACAGTTAACGTTTTTCTCAAGACTTTGCTAAAAAATTTGATACTCTCTTTGAACGGAAAAGCTAATCCTTCCTTGTGGAGCCTCACTTTGAAGTTAGATCATACTAAACCAGGAAACATCCCATATATTCAACATATCCTGTGTTCTACTTGTCTTACTTCACTATTAGAGGATAGAGGGAGAGGGGAAAGCCTGCTTTGTTATTCTATGAATGTTCGGTTTAAACACTGATTTACACATGGCTACAGCATACTACCGCCTGTTCCTGCTAGAGGGTCTGTCCAAACCACAACATGCAGATCAGGATTTCAAACACTGGTGGTTTGGTTTGCCCAGCTGTGAAACTTGGATCCCGATTTGGAACTCCCGATCTCCCTCCCACAGAAAAAGTTAGGGATGTTCAGATGTGGGGATGTGGTTCAGGCCTCTTTCTTGCTCTGATTGAGGTAGTTGCTGATTTAAATTTAGAAAGATACAAATGGTTTAGCCAAACCAAGCATTCACTTGGTTCTCGGAGCACAAAGCAGTAGGCTGCTATGACAGGGCAAGCAATCTGTTGCTGGTTTTTCCCTTACTGTTCGAGTGATTTAGTGCACACAGAAGATGCTGCCCTGGAGACTGAATGCCATTGATAAAAACATGCTATAGGGCAAAGTGCATGTTTCCCTATATTACCTCAACAATTTAGAGTTTCAACCCTGAGCAGTGGTAGACTATCTGAGCCTCCAGGTAGAAGCTGCCAACAAAGATAGTAAATAGTCTGGAGGAGAAAGAGGAACGTGAACAACCCTTGTCGTTTGGCAACTAGACTGAACTCCCAAACTCAATGCATCTCAGCTATTTGAGAAGCAATGATGGCCAATTAGTATCTCAGCAATGTCAAAGATCAGTATATATTTGTGCTATGTAAACACACACACATATTTATATATACACATATATATTTTTGTATATACATGTACATACACATATTTGTCATACAGCAAGAACTTTTCAAATAAAACATACTAAGAGCAGCACAATGTTACCTCTATCAAGTCAGGATTTCTGAATCTCAATTTAAATGTATTGATTTAATGCAAGTCCTACCTAAGCATTGCCCAGAGGCACGGTCCAGGTCAAACCCATTAGTGCATTGTTGCTAAAATGAGAAAACAAAGGACACTCAGTGACTGTGAAATGAAAGGGTTGCAGAGTCAAATGCTCATCTGGATTATTATGCTTAGTACAGTTGTTCAGCACGATAGAGCACACCAAAATAAAGTCCCTTCCCCAAAGGACAGTCAGCAAGGCATGAACCCAGACCTCAGCTCAGATGCCAGCCCCTTAACTCAGGAGGCTGTTCCCTCAGGTGGTGATGGTGTCAGGCTGTTCATCTCCCCAGGGGTAACCGACACACAGTGAGCAATGGGCTCCAGACCAGCTGTTAACACAGGAGTACATTCTTCTATTTTGGGGTCTTGTTTTTGCCAGAAGAGGGGGGTTCAGTTAAAAGGTACTACCTAACTTCTCTAACGGGCTCTAAAACATCATATACAGGCACTTCAGTACATATATCTCAAGATGTTAGCCATCTGACTGACTGGAAGCCATAGTTAAAACATAACAAGATTAACAAAAGTAAAGCTTTTACTTTGCACCAAACCTTTTGGTTTTTAGAGGATAACTCTTTACATGACACATGTTGTAGGCTTGAAAGTTTACTTGTTCCTTGCTATTCTCTCGTGCTGGTCTTTATCAGGGCTGCAACCTGGAGTCTTCAGCACCTCATCAGTGACCCTCAGCAGTTCTAAAACATTGGCAGTTCTGGTCAGGATTGTGCCAAAGCCCACTAAAACGATTCCCTGCTCTCCCTAGTTTTTGACTAGGCCTCCAGCTGTTTAGCAACAGGCCAAGCAGTTTTCACAAGCACAGGATCCTGCCAGTTAATAGGTTATACTAAGAAATCTAAGCAAGAGAAACCCAGAAAACAGGAACCATTGAAATAATCAGAGGGCAGAATGATGGAGCGTGTTCAAGATTCTTTCTCTTTTGTTGTTATTAAATGATAAAGACACTTATTTTTGGACTTTGTGGAAGAAATCAGTGGAAGATTAAAGTACTTGGTTCATGTCTGGAAAAGTAGTAAGTTGTAGATGGGAGACAAGGAGGGGGGGAGATGGATAAGCCAGTGGAAGCAGGAACTAGGGAGGGGACATGAAGTGAAACATGTGGCACTATTTGGACTGCACCTGCCACACACATGAATACACAAAACCACTAGTAGAAGTGTCAAACAACTATCAAGGAATTCTGCCATCATTTATTTTGGCATTCTGAGATGTTTTGGTATCATGCTGTGGAAAGCCAAGACATTCTGATGGGAGAATGTATAATCAGTCTCATGTTTTAAAGAATGTATGCACTCTACTTTTTGTTCTCTTTTCTGTGCTGTGGCATATACACTACACCTAGGTTAGCAGGAAAAGTTAAGATAGTTTTTAATAAAATTATTTTCTTTTGAATAGTAAACTATGATTCAGAAAGACTGAAACTACTGTAGAACTGGTTTCAACAACTTTCTAGAACTTTGTTTTAGAAAAGATTCCAATATTGTTGAAATGACCAGTTTCAACATCTTCAGAGAGAATTTGTTGCTATCATCTTGTTTTCAAGTTGCTTTTTGCTTAAACTTCAAAATCAAGTTACAGTACAAGATGTTTTTTATAAAAATAGCAATGGAAACAATATTTTTTAAATTATAAAACCAAACCCTTAAAGACATCTCAAAAATTCTCCAGGGGCATGAAAATCATTTCCCATACAGATCCAATGTCCACAAAAAATATCAATAAGCATGCCATATGCAGGAAATTTTCAATGTAATAATAAAAAAAAACCAACTACATTTCAGAGCCTTTTGGCAAAGGTATTTAGAAACACAGCTCTGGACACTGAGTATATCTGGATTATCAACTAGGAATTGAAACTTAACATGCCTTTGGGAACTGTTTTTCCTAATTTAAAGTCCACTTGGAGCCCAAGAACACAAAGAACTAATGCTTCTGCTATTTCAAGAACTGGACTGCTTTACTTCCATCCACCCTCAAAAGCTCTGCTTCTTGAACAAAAATGGTTTCGGGCATAAATTAAAATGAAAACTAGGATGCAGTCATTCAGGATCACAGTCCAAAATTAAACAGTCTTAAGACAAGATCCTGCTATACACGGAAAATACCTATTTATTTGAATAAGTTTTCCAAATGTGGATGTCCCTGCTCTCGTGGGATGGCTTTTCTTATTTCCTTTTCCAGAAGTGTTCAGTTCAGAGGCAGAATCAGGTTTTCAGTGAGGTCCAGGTTTCTACAGGGATATTTTGCTGAGCTGGCAAGGATGAGTCAATAAGCTCAGTCCATGTTCAACTCCAGAATCCCGCTGGCTCCAAGTTCTCCCCTCTAAACCCTTAGACCACACAGCTTCCTTTTCATGTAAACCCCAGACCACAGAGCTTCCTATTCACCTGCTAGCCAGTTAAGTCTCGTGCCAGATAGCGCTTCAGTACAAAACAGTACATAGATCTCTGTGTGCACCTCTCACCTGTGCTTTTCCAGGGCTTGAAAGGCAGACGGCCAGTGTGAAAGCAGTCAGTATCCTGTAACGTGCATAGAAAATAGGCTGAAAACCTTCTGATATCCAGGCTCATTATAATAGAATTAAATACACATGGACAAATTAATTTCTAGTGACACTTCAGTGTATTCCACAGAGATTTGCTAACATGAATTTGGCCTCTGGAGAGGGAGTAATAAAATTGTGGGCCAGATTCAGATCTCAGAGTCATTAATTTTACTATGGTTTTATGATCAGAATCAGACTAAATGTGTCTATTAACTAATCGATTTTTTATGATACCCCATGCATCAGCTGCTTAATGAACAAGTGCGTAATATTCAATGAAGTATTTTTGCCCCTCTCTGACACCTTTCTTTTAAGAATATCGAAGTTTTTCTTGCACATTATGCACATTTTACAGATGGGTAAACCAGAGCACAGGCCCTGGCTAAGCTCATAGTGCAACGCATTGGCAGGGCTGCAGACATGTCATGCAGGAGGTCCTGAATCCAAGCCAGTTGCTCTAACCGCTAAACCGCATTTCATCCCCAGGAGACCATATCTGAGATTAATCCATTTTCTTAGGGCCAGATTCTGTCCCTTTACTCAGTCTTGAGTAATACGTTGTTCTGCAAGTAGACACACTGTGCCAGGTCATCAGCTACTAGAAGCTGCTATCTTCAATGGAGCCTTCCCCAGTTATATCATCTCAGCATCTAGTGGGACATAGCGGGTCTCTTCACTGCAACTGAAAGAGGAGGATCCCTTGCTAACAGAGCTTTATGGCTGTATTTGGCACTCCTTACCTGGAGCATGAAAATACTGGGCAACTAAACTTCCACCTCCAAGTATTTACTGACAGAAAACCAGGAAAGGGCAGTAGAAAATTGTGTTTTTTCTATGTACTATGGATTTCAGTGCTTTGTCGCTGCCTTATATAAAATTTCTTCTCAATACAATTAGACCCACGTCTTGCTTATCTTGGATCCTAGTTCTGAATGGCAATTGTATACAATACATTCCCACAAAACCAGTACAGGAAGCAAAGGGATATTTTAGGTAGCCTTAGTTCTGCTACCCAAGTAAGCTGCCAACTTTCTCTCTCAGTGCTGTCTCTGATTTCCAGTGCAAACTGAGCTGCTGAACAAGACCTACAGATGCATCAGACAAAACCACACACAAACAGTGACCAACACATTTGAACAAATTTGTTTTAAATGAGGAGGCAGGCACGAGCTCTGAAAAGTAAACATAAACCCTAAAATGGTTGTTCATAGTGCTGCGGAGACAGATCGTGCTTGTTGGCAGCTTTTGAGTGACAAGGAAAGGCAAATTCTGCACAGACTTTTCTTTAGAGTCGGATGCAAAGCACTCAAAATACAACGTTATTCATTTAGGCTTGCACTTCATTTATTGATTCCTCAAATCTTTTTGAAGAGATTTTAAAGCACACGCTGGGATAAAGACTGCATGCTCACTTTGCATATAGCAAGAACAGCACTGGAAGGAAATACAACAGGTTACAGCTGAACGTTAACATACCTAGCAACTGGGCTACGCTTTACATTATTGCAGAGCAATGCAGGCTAACAAAATCCCCTATAAACCTGGTCAGACAAAACTGATACGTTTCTAGACGGTCTTTCGTTTCCGTTGTTACAAGATGATATATTCTTTCCTCTTGGTGGGGGGGCGGGGGGGCGACCTTACTGCCTCATACGTGTTCTGCCTGCAACCACCGTCGCAATTTGCTCGTTACTTTAGATCTCAAATCCCCCCAAGAGTTATTAACAGACATGCAGCACAACCTATCAACACTATATTCAGCTGGCCACAGTAGCTTGCCCAGCAGGCAAAATATTTTAAACTAGTAATTAACTTCTGCAATAGTAACTAATTAGCTTCAAATCAATCACTGGAGCCAGTGGGATCGTTCGCTGTCGCAATTCAGCACTCCCGCGGATGCCGGGGTTCCTAAAGCGCAGAGCATAAGCACAGATCAAGAAGGAATTTGTCAGAGACAGCACAGCTTTAATAACAGACAGATCGTCTTTCCCCACCTCTGACCATTGAGATCCCGTCTCTTTGCAAATGGCTTTAGCAAGTGGATTGGCATATCAAATCCCTGCCGCAGATATTTTTCACACGTAGGTTTCCCTTCAGTAAGGAAAGAAGTTTCATACATACCACTTACCTTTTTAATCCTTGCATGTCCAAAACCGTTGGGGAAAGGTGGAAAAAAAACAGAGTCTGTGCTGATGAATAACTAGAAAGTTTTTCCAAACATTACCCTCTGCTAGCACTTCAGTTCCTCAGTCATTTATAGTCCAAAGAATGAAATAGCAAGTAATGGAGAAGATCGGGAGCCGTCTGTACCTCCTCAGACACTGGAGAGAATACAGAGAAAGCACCTGGTTTTGCTTAGTTCTCTTCTGTAATTCAGCATTAAACCAATTGGAGGAGGAATGTTAAAAATGAACACTTCATTTTCTAAGTATGTTAAACAATGCAAATGGGGGCCTCAGCCTGGGACAGCTGGTTTAGATTACAAAGCTCACCAACTGGCTAGACTCCTCACAACAACCTCGAGGAGCCTGCCAGGATAAAACACTAACAGCTTGAAGGAAAGCCTCTCCCGCTGCAAACTTCACAGTTAAATGTGCCTCAGAGCAGAGAGCACCGTTATTGGACAGAAACCCTTATCAAGGGACTAGAGAAGGGAAGGGATTGTTTTCCTTGCTCTGAGAACAAAAAAAAAAAAAAAAAAAAAAGGTCAGGCTTTTTGGAGGCCCTCTAGCCGGTGTCTCGGCCGATGAATATGCAACACTCGCTGCTTCCTGCCAATGGCATACTGATGAAAGGTCTGACCCTCTGGGAGGTGAATAACTTGAATTCATGACGATCACAGCTACAGGAACTATATTGCTTGGGGATTGTTTGAAAACAGGAATAAACAAATTACACGCTCAAAGGAAAACAAATGGCTTGTCTACAAATACTGGCCCTTTTTAAACTGACCCCACGGTTAAGGGAGCGGTTTGTGAAATGAAATATTTTTCAGGAAAGACATATCTTTCGGATATCCAGTTATGATTGAAGAGGAAGGAAAGAAAGTACTTTTTCAGGTGTTTTGCAACTTTGCCACAGGGAGAGCTTTAGTAGGTCAAGCAGAACATTTACGAGATGTGAGAGGTAAGCAATCAGATGCTGCAAAGATTAAGCTAGATCCAAAGACGAACACTGAAATTAAATACAGACATAGATATTAAATGAATACTTTGAATTTCTGTTAAGTCTTCCATTTGAGGAAACCCTTTATTCCTAAGGAACATGAAATGTCCGACAAGATAATTATCATACATCTCTCCATAACAGACTGAGAAACAGAGAAACAGCGTTGTTAGCACAGATATTCATAAAACCGGCCTCTAAGCATGGATACCCAGCTTGAGATACAGAGATTGAGCTGCTTCAGTGTTGCTGAGCACCCACAAGTCACATCGGTGCCAATGGGAAGTGCAAGAGCTCTGTACCTCACTAACTGGCTGGAATTGTACAAATTATTTCTTCAAAAATGACAGCTCAGTGCCATTTCTGACAGTTTGCCGCTCAGCGACTTGCTTACATCACTTGCATTGCCTTAAACACGCTCCTAGAATTATTCCAACAGCGTCAACTCATTTGCAGATAAACAAGAACCAATTAACTTATTTTAAATAGACATCCCAAAAGCTTAACAAAAACTCACAGAAGGGACTTCTGAAGAAGCTCACTGGGCATGTTGTGAGAGGAAAGTTTTGTCATGGGTCAGAAAACAGGCAAGAGATAGGAAGCAAAGATTGGGCAAATTTTCATTGTGGCAAAAGGTTAACAGTGAGTATTCTCATTACTCCATAAGACCAGTGTTTCTCAATACACTCAATCATCTGGAGAGCTAAGAAGTCTAAAAGTAGCAGTGCTTACTGTATGTTAGGTGTGTGAAGGTCTACTGAAACTCTGAGAAACAGCTCTACAGCAAAGCAGATGCTCTGAGCATGTGGATGAAGCGCTTGCTTCGTATACTTGTTGATACTTCACTTGCCAATCCACTGAATTTTTCTCACCATCACATGGTAAAATCGTTGTACGTGTGCCAGAATCACCGTCTGAGCGCAGCACCAATCTGGTCCCAAAGAATTGCCTCAGAGTGAAGAGTTCTGATTCATCAGCCAACTGGCAGAGGTGCTCCAGTGCTGGAGGCAGGGGGTGAATCCAGACCTGACCACCTAAAGGGCTCCCTTAAGAAGGAACACTGTACAAATGTTTTGATTTTTCCTGTCTCCATCTGACAGCTGGAGTGGATAAAAACCAAAGGATAAAAAGTGTACCAAACCACAACCTGGGCTAGTTTACAGCATGGTGACTTTTTTTTTTTCCTAAATAAAAGGATTTGATGTTATGTCTAAGTGGAATTTCTACAGCACCCTTCTGTAACTACCATCAGCCACAAAACAATGAGAAGCAGCCACACCCTTCTCACAACTCTCTTTGATATGAAGAGTTGCATAAAAGAAGATGTTTGTGGTACATAAAAAAATCTTTTGTTCACCCTATGAAAACACAGACAATTCACCATATCTTTCAACGCCATCTGCTGACACCTTCACTATTTATGCTTAGGACGGTGGCTTAACCTCAGGTCCAGCAGCACTCTCACATCAGTGGTCTCAACTATCCCCCCATGTTATAAAATCCACTAGTTTATTCAGATTACCCTGATGTTTTCTTTGTCTTCATGAGGAGGTGCAGAACAGTCCACAGTACAAAACAGGGGTCTGTTAAGAGACCAGGTTCTTACAAGTTTGCTTTGTGCATAGCTAGGGTTGAAACTATAGCTTTAATTACATTTGAGACTTGGATTTCGAAAATTGGGTAATATAAAATCATAAGGGGCACAGGCTATGTCGTGTAACCTTAATGCTACCCTCCTTAGATGAAATGATCGAATGTATTACTGAATTACGACGGAATAACGCCATGCTCCTGCAGATGACGCACAACACTCGGTTAGCAGCAGCCCTCAGCACCAGGGAACATAATCTAACGGCTCCTGAATGCTGAGACAAAAGCTGTATTTACGTCAGGGAACTCGGTAAGAGTTAACTACACTCAGCACTCCTGAACAAAAAGCCTGCTTCACATAAACAAGTCCTCATCTACTAACTTTTACAACACTTCATCTCCTTTTTTAGTTCTATCTGAAACTATACTTCTCCAGAATTGTATCTGCCAAACACCGTTCTTAGATGTTCTTGTCATGTTTTTAAAGTTCACTCTATGAACATTCTTGAGGACATTGTCAAACTGTGGGAGCAGAGTCAAAGCACACAGATCTGTATGGTGAGAGGTGTGCGAGCCCAAAGTCATTGAAAGAGACACATCTTAGACATCTTTTACAGCCATACAGACCTGAGTTCACTGAAGGACTTTGCCAATAACTGACACTTCAAGGGCCTATGTCCAAGCTTTAGATGCTTAAAACACCCATTTTGCTCCTACCAAACCCTATGGAACCAAATTTTCTACCAGCAAAACTGGTAAAACACTTAGAACAAAACTGCTGGGCATTTGCAGGAACCATTGCATTTTGATAGCATCTAACCTAAGCTCCATGAGATTCACAAGTTGGGCTTTTGCCTGACTATGGAGGCTGATCTAAGCGTTCTTGGAGACTGCCAGATGAGAAAGCTTTTGATATTGTCACATGTTGATATAGCAGACGACAGGCAGCGATTCGAACTACACACATCTCACCCTACTGCCGCGCGAGTAGCGCTGAGCACATGGGAAACTTGGTCTCAAACCCTAATTCTGTCTGAAAGAGTAGGGCTTGCTTCGTCCACCTCCCAGGACAGAACCCCAATTGCAAACTCTAGGTATTTGAGGAGGGTTCTCTCTCCTTTTTCAAAGGCGGACTACCCTACGCTACCAGCTGAGGTCTGCTTCATTTAGTGTCTGAATTGTAATTGCCATCTCATAACATGAATGATGCAATAACCTGTTCCAGATGGCTCTGGCCAGAAGCTCAAAAGCAGAGTCCCACACGTATTTTCCATCCCTAGCCAAACATAACAGTGAAAATTAACATAACATGTAATTTTAAAAACATCGCTAGTGCTAACTAAAATGTACTGCAAACATAGAGAGTCTGAGATGTCTTGTCATGTTGTGTCGATTTGCAGGTCACACTTGTTAGGAAGGAGAAAGTGTCACAGTTCCTGTTGTGCTGCTGTCTCTTGGGGCTCAGCTGTCTCAATATGGTCCAGTTACCACCCGTGTGAGAGATCCGTGGAAAAAAGAGCCAATGCAGCATCCCTTCCTCCTCTCCTGCATGGGGATGTCACCCATCTGTCTGAAGCATGCATTCCTTCGGGGTGACAATACTGCTGACAATATCACTGCTTCCCAAGAACAATAAGCATGGTGCCCCTTTAATGTTGTAGCAGATGTTCTCAGAGTATGGACCACATAATTTAAAGTTTTTGTTTTATCTTATCTAACTCTTTATCTTATAGATGTAACTATCTTTACAGGTCTGTGGTCACTCTGGTTCCTAACAGCACATTTTCTTTTAGGGAAAAAGTAATCAGTGGAAAATCCAGGCACCACTGGATCCATTCTGAAATGTAACAACGCTAAACATGGACTGGTATCTGACTCCACTTTATTGCTTTGAAAGCATATTAATCATCCCAATAGATGAGGAATAGTAGGAGCTAGCAGGTACGTACTAAAACCCAAACAGCTTAAACCTATGCCCAGTGAACTGCATCTGCTGTAAGACAACACTTGTCCAGGTATAGTTCCTTTAGTGAGATCAAGTTCGATGTTCGTGATCACCTGTTTGGCTGTAGTGTTTTCTAAAAAGGTCTAGGAAGGCCACCTGAGGCAAAGAAGAGTAATATTTCTGGTAGAATGCTTCAGTATGGTTCAGGTTTGTTTGTTTGTTTTTCCCCAACAAAAGTAAGGTAAGCAAACAAACTAAAAACTTTTTATAACTTTCCCAGGAAAAATACAGGCTTTCACAGCATTTTTGGTGCATGTGACAACTCTCAGCAGGTCCCTTCCTATTAGTATTCATTTGCAAGAGTATACAACATTCTTGTTGATTTTTCAATCCTTAAATGACCGACATTTATACTTTTAAAACTATTCTCCTGTGAAAAGCATATAGAACATCATCCTGTAACTGAAAAGATCTCCTTGAGAACACACAGCTCCCCCTTGAGTTGTTGCGAGTACCCGAGAACATGATGCCCCAGCCACTGTTAATAGTTTTACTTTTCATTCTGTTGAATCTCAACCTTGAGCATAGCTCTGGTAACTGCAATTCACATTTTGCCTGAAACTAGACAGACGTTTTAGTTTGGTTTTGTTTATTTTATAAGATTGACATGTACATAAGCTCGGCTGCAGTCTTTTCTCTTCTGCATTTTTGTCAAATGGTCTAGGCAGTGTGGTTGAAAACAATGCTCTTTAATCTTGTGACAAGATGTTTACCAGCCCCCTTTAATAACAAGCGTAAATCCTTTATGGACGGTTTCAGCTAAGAATGACCTTCCATAAATAAAGATCTAAAACTCTAAATACTTCTGGACCAAG